TGAAAAAATCCCAACAAGGGGTCGCGGCCATAGTTGGTGATATTGCAGTTTTCCGTGGAGTAGATGCTTATTGATTATACGGTCATAAGGCTGCGATCGATATGTATATACTCCATTCTTGAGCTGCAAACGGAGTGTTAGGTGCTCGCAAACTGTGACCGCGATCTAACGAGGAGTTCGATTCCGTCTGTCCTCATGTTGCGCAATATCGTGAAACTTAAAATTTTCAATGGATTACAGGTTGATGGAGATTGGACCGCGTATGAAGCTTGAGCTTCTGAAAGTTCAAGATGGAATCGATGAAGGAGAAGTGTTGTACCATAAAATCATCAAGAAAACCAGCGAAGAACTAGAAAGGCTGAAGAAGGAAGCCCCTAAGAAGAAGTGATGTTCATAACTCTTAATCATCCTAATATTTTGAATACCAACTTCTTACAGAAAATTGAAGAAACGGCGGGAACAAGAGACGGAACACCGTGTTATTCGTCGTCTTGAGAACGCACAGGAAAAAGCAAAGCGAGAGGTGAGACTAATTTCAGTGGGATCCAGCGTCAAGCCTGTCGTCAGGACAGTTTCAAAGTTTTTACGGCTGCCGCTTAGGGATCGGGTCCTGACAGTATTGTCCCTTTACAGCCCCTCAGATGAAACTTCCACCTGTGGATCACTACCCCCATTACATATAATGCTGGCTGTACAGTATTTGGTTCTGAGAGCGTTTAGGATTTTATTCTGAGACCAGTCGACAACTCTAATTCCGCCCGTTACAATTTCCCTTTATTTCACTCTTCTTTCCCAGAGTTACTCGAATAAAAATTCCGTCTAACAATAAGACGACCTTTTCTTCTGCAAACACGGCCACTCAAATACGATTCCGCTCCTAAAAATTGCAAATGCAAACCTCACGTCTGGCTCGGCCAGACCGACGGTTGATTTTATTTAGATCGCTTTTTTAGCCACAAAACCGTAACTATTTCTTTCAGGAGGAGGAACTCAAAGCGTTCAAGGAAAAAGCTGCAAGAAAGCAGGCTGCCGCAACGGGACAAACAGAGGACATCGAGAATAGCAAAGAGAAGGACAGAGAGATAGCTCTCAATAGAGAACGGTACGATGTCTTTGTTTTCTTTTCGTTGCTTATTTGGTAGAGAAAGTGCGAGTCAATGGGAAATATGAATGAGTAAACGCCGTGTTCGACTCTCGATGAACCTCGGCATGTTAGTGATTGAATGGTATAGCTTTGTTGAACTGCACACGAGGTTGATACTGACAGTTTATTGGCTAACGTTTCGGCGAGTTCGCCTTCTTCGGAGCCTAAAAGGATGTCGAGTTTATGAGTATCCGACCAAAAATCTCCACACACCTACTAGATCTTCGACACCACCTAATCATCACGTAATCACAAGGGAGAAGAAACACCGTACCTTTACCAGATCCACTGGACCAGCCAACGAAAAGCACAGTAAGACTTGGATGGATAAAAATATGTGCGAAAACGCCCACATTTTGTCCATTCTTGCGGTTAATGGTTTGATTTTGGCCTTTTTGTTCTTATTTTCACACCTAAATCAAATAACAAATGATACAGCCTCCTCCATCTTCTCTTCTTCTTCTTCTTCGTCTCCCTAGCGTTAGTCCCGCGCAGTCGCAGGGTCCGCCGATACAGCCCCTTCCATGTGGTCGCGATAGGGTTCCAGGCAGGTCCCAGGTTAAGTAATGTGTTCCAATTTGAAAGTAGAGAGGATACGCATTTCGCAGATTTAAACTCAGAGTCTTTATTTACAATGCGTTGCTTTGAATAGATAAGGTACGAAGTCGAAAAGTCGATCAAGGGAGCTCACTTCTACAGTAAAGCTTATTTATTTGGCTATGCCCAAATCCGAGGGTACTGGTTACCATTTGGTTACGGAAAGCTAGCTATCCGTCCATGCTGGGAGATAGACCAGGGACGTTTGCTAAAGCAGTGTGTCGTTTCATGCGTGCCCTGAGAGACCATGGCGTAGCACCGCATAATGGATAAACAACCCATCTTCCCCTGCTAGCTTTTGGCCTTTAAGCAACAGTCTCAAAGGTGTTTTTACCTTCAACACTAATGCTATGGAACGATGCGCTAGCTCTAGTCAAGAACATAAGAAGTGTTATTGAACAAAAACTCACCTTGGAAAGCCGCTAGAAAGGGAACTGAACGGCTTCGAAGTGGGCGTGGTTGCTCAGTCGGCTGCAATCCTTCGGCGACTTCCAACCACGCCCACTTCGCGAGTCGTTCAGCTCCCTTTCCAGCGCTTATCAAGGTGAGTTTTTGTTCAATCACACTTCTGATGCTATTGACTAAGGCTAGCGCAACGTTCCACGTCGTTAGTGTTGAAGGTAAAAACCTTGCTAGGACTGCTGCTTTAAAGTTCCTAAGCCTGATGATTACAACCCACAGTGCGAAGCGGCACATGCACTTGTTTGTGTATTAGTTTACTGTAACGAATGTTATGGACCTTCTGTTGCGGTTTAGTGAATTAAAGCGCGGTGGTGGAGGTGGCGATGGACAGAACCGCTCACTGGAACCGGAACGAAAACGCCGTCGAAAAGATATCCATGACACGAAGGAGGGAGCAGGGAAGCGATTCCACAAGGGGAGAAGAGAATAGTTCGATGTTGAATATTGTATTGTTGCAGCTTGAATTGTAATGATTTACAGATTGGTTCAGTTGTTATTTTAGTTGTTACTCCACTTTGTTGTTGATCAGCCTTGGTTGTTTGTCACTGTTTAAAGCACTCTAAAATTTATGCAAAGCATATTTATAGCAAAAAATATTGAGTTAAGGGTAATATCGGTATCAGCATTTGAAGAATAATTTATATGGATTCAAAGTCCACATTTTGAGCCTGAATTGTGGGCCCATCGTGGAAAGGGGAAAAGTTGAAGCTCAAAGCTTTCAGCGTTGATCATTCACTTTTGGGATGCGCCACGCACTTTACCTCCTTTCACAATGACTTGCGAGGCCAACAATGCACAAGACGGTGTTTTTGTACACCAGACAAGTCTTGTACCTATGGACAACCCTGGAATGACTGGAAGATTGGGCTCGCCTGGAAGATTTTGATTCGAAGCTTTGCACCTTAGGACGCGTCGTGTATGCGGGAGCTGCACGCAAGCACCTTTGCTGATTTTTTATTGGAAGTTAATTTAAACCATATCTGAAATGAGAGGAAAAAGACGCATTTAGTTGTTCTCCAGTGAAATACCATTTCTCTCAATTTGTCGGCAAATTAGCCGACTCTCTGACCTTTCAAGGAACGCTTGGCGCCACGTCAGTGGCCGGTGCATCGCGTTAGTTAGAATGCTTCGCCAGTTTTGTGCAAACTCTAGAAGTGGTCTTTTCGGTTGAAATGAGATGCGGCATTGCCTGATCGTGACTAGCTGTGGATTCTGATAGTGAGCCAATGGTTGCTCCTGGTTGGCGTTCTTTAACATGGTATTATCAAACAGCATCCCTAGTCCTTCGGGAAAAGTATTAGGAGTTTCATTGCTATGCTTGAGCAACCACTCTATCGATGTTTGGGGATGAGCACAGTTTTTCAATGAAAGTTCTTTGTACAGTTGATTTTTCGATAATAGAATAGTTTAGTACTGAGCTTCCGACCAAGATTGTCAATAGCTTTATTTGGCCGACGTTTCGGTGCTTTCACCTTCTTCAGAGCTTTAGAGATGCTGGACAGAGAGGTCAGGTGGCAGGTGGACCTCTCTGGCCAGCATCTCTAAAGGCTCTGAAGAAGGTGAAAGCACCGAAACGTCGGCCAAATAAAGCTATTGACAATCTTGGTCGGAAGCTCAGTACTAAACTTATTCTATTCTGAAAATATGCCAAGATTCATACAAAGTCGAACTTGGACACAGTTGCTTTCTATTCTTTTTAAGAAACGTCCCAAAAATAGCTTTATCGCCCTGGAAATGATTATTGTGGTAAGTATTCTAGTTACAGCAGGCGGGGTCTAATGAAGTAGGGGGAATCGAAGGAAGATTTTGGCAAAACCTGTAATCACCGTTATGTGGCATTCCTCAATGAACTCCTCAGTGAGTACGTAACCACAACCGTCACTTTGAGCAGTTTTTATTAAACAATAAAATCTATCAGATACATTAGGCACATGGATTTAACAATAGGCGAGTACTTACACTATATTCCTCGAGGCTGAAATCGATCGTAATTGCAGACTCAGTAAAAAAAAAAGGCGTGTCAGACAGAATCAAAGCATCAAAAGCACACGAAAATTCTAATGTTTCGAAACCATTGGCTCTTCTGATAACGAATCTGCAACTACAAGCTGAACTGGCGGAGAAGAGAGCACAGTCATTCCATGATTCTTTTGTCAAAAATTCACAAATTACGGCTATATCCTAAACAAATCCAGTTAGTTTATCGAAACTTCTAACAATAACAATAGATTACAACATAACAAATAACAAGCTATTAGTAATCGCAGGAGCCGTCTTTCCAACCATCTTTCCATCGTTCAAAGACTTTTGAACAATCAAAGTCAGGTTTTCCAGTCCTCCTGTTTACCTGAAAACAACCAACGGCAACTGCAAACGCGCACGTCAGTAGAAAAATAAAAATAATCAATGGTCACAGCAATTTTCTTTAAAGTCTATGAGATCAAGCTATTAAAAAACTTGCTCTATTCGAAAAGAAAAGAAAAGCACAACCACGTGAACGAGTACCTTGTTGTGCAATTGACACATCCATAACGCAAATTCATTACGATTGCTTAATTTTTGGAGGATCCTCTTTCAGAACTTTTCGCAAATCTTTTGCGCAATAATCACATGGGTATGTCTGGAAATTAGGAGCATAATCAACGCAAACACAAAAATGGTGATACCCAAGCTATTTTTTCATGGCATCCAGCGCACCTCATTTCAACGGTCAACTTACCTTTGCAAGGCTATCCATAAACGTAGAAACCGTCTGTTTTTGATCTCTGTCGGTTTTTCTGGATAGTAAACACTCATCGTGTGTAAAAGATTCCAAGTGGAACGACCTGAAAGAAGCCTTTTGATCTGGGCTTCGCTAAACTTTGGCAATTTAAGGGTCCTTCAATGCTCACGGATGTACTCACCGAGCTCGTCCTTATCGGGAGGACACTGGTCGTAGCGCGACGCCGGTGATGGCCTTTGACTGTGTTTTGAACCATTCTCTGCTTGTATCTTAAGAAAAAAAACTATTTCAGTGAGCTCGAAGAAAGTCATTATGTGGAAGGAGGACGTATGAGTATTCACTTCTTCAGACCACGTTTTCGGACATAAGGTAAGAAGGTAAACGGGACACCCAGAGTTTCTAGCCCTCCATGATAGATCGTAGAGCCTGCCACAGTTCCATGTTAGTACCTGGATAGAGAAAGCTTTAGGTGGTGGTGGGGGCAGTGAGAAAATAAGAAACCACACCGAAAAACACTGAAAATAAGACCTCCCTGCGTTCTAACTTATCGACCGTTAGGGCGAGAGGGAAGAGGAAGCTTGACAACAGTTGCGCAAGTGATTGTTCACCCTATTGTCGGCGAGATAAGGGATAAGATCCCCGACTTACAGGTTAGACAATGGCATTGCTAAACGACTACAGCGCTTTCAACGGAGGAAGAAAGTCCTTAGCGGCTTGCGTTTACCATAGTCGATGTTCAGCTTTTAGCCAAACTTTGCGACATCCGTAGCGAAACGCTGGATTCGCTAAGTCTAACATCAGTCCAAAACCAGTACACATCCTACCTTACAAATAGCTCTATCCTCTTGTAGAGAGACTGATCTATCTAGGATATGGTTCACTAGGACAGAAAGCAACTTCTTCGCGTTTCGCTGCAGGATCCTCAGGTCCACCGCTGATCATGATGGACCCAGTTCTCGCAGCGAAAATCCTTCGTGCTGCGAAACGCTAAAAAAGTCACTTTCCGTCCTAGTAGATCACACCCGTCTATCTAGCTGACCGTGCGATGAGTCCTTAAAACGGAGGAGTAACTGCACCTAGTGGTGGCGAATTCAAAAAAAGGAATTTCGCAAAACGTACCTTTGTCCTTTCCATTAGTCTTTTTTACATACTCGTGGGCACGCTGCATCAATTCCTCAACACTTGTACAAGCTCTGCAAGGCTTCCCGTCAGGACCAGTTCCATTACTGAAACTCAAATCACTGACTCCATCACACTTTTCGGTCCCGTTCAATTGTTACTGGAAGTTCTGTCACCTCGAAAAACCTGTCTGAATCAGAACAGCTTTTTTTGAACGAGAAAAAGATCTCACGCTCAGATGGCTTCTACATTTACCGTAACACGTAGCTGCAGAACAGAATGAACGCGCCACTATGTCAACAAGTGTAGAGTTGAACTTCACTTTTGTACCAAATGTATGGGAAATGGTGATATACCGCAAAGGGTAAAGGTCTTTGCTGACGCTAAACCTGGTGCTGATGATTGCGAAACTCCAATAACCATAGCAAAAATCTGCGGAAAAGTCTTTCAAAAGGCATAGTTCACTCTCCCGAAGAGACAGTAGCAGTACCAAACCATCGGAAGTAATAGCTTGTGATCGTGCGCACAGCCGCGTCTACAACTACTTGGAATCCCCGCTTTTAACCGGCCAATTTTTTGCCCTTGTCCACGCTCTTTGGCTAGAGTAGGATCATATGGTCACTGCGAGGCTCTGCCAACTCTTGCTACTCATGGTCAGAGGTGACTTCCACTCTCTCCACTGCATGCATTGGCGACCATCCCTCTGATCACCATTTCCTGCTGACAATGTTCTGAGCGGTGTCAGATGGTGTTTTTTTATCCATCTGCGCTTGGCCTTTCGCGCTGAAAATATACAAAGGTTGAAACAGTCACGGAAGCACGCATCCGCGACGCCACTTTCACCGCATCACCGTAATCGGGTCCTCATGACTCACATTCACCAGTAGTTACCGTTTACGATGGATAAGTGAGAAAGTTGTCGACATAAGAAGAAATATTAACAAGAAGCTTCGCCTCCTCTCCTCTTTCCAGCGGCAATCTGCTCAAAGCCCCGAGAACTAATTAATAAAATATGGATACCTCTTCATGACCATTCAATTTTATATGCAAAGAAGAAACAGATCTTCAGTCTCTAATATATGGAGTCATTGGTGAATCTCGCAGATGACGTCAAAACGCTTATAAAAACTGGTCCACCTTTTTTATAGTTTCAGCGGAAAGTGTTTCAAAGTGTTTCAGTGTTGAAATAATGGGGATCTGCTTCTTATGTGTATGCTTAGTTTGTCAGTATGGAAGAAATATAGGACTTTTATCCTCACGATTGGTTTCATGCTCACCTTTTCAACGCTTCTTGAGTTAAGCTGGTTCGACGTGACTGGTGCACCATTCACACGAACGGGGACGCCGTTCGTTAAGCGGACGGGAGGTTCTCGACGTGTGTGTCTTCTCTTCTGCCTGAAAATGTGTCGATAACAATATCAAATGAGAGGTAAACAACAACCGCCACAGACGATAGCAAAGTGACAGATAAGAAGGCTACAACTATTGCCAGCCGTCGGCCTCAACGTTTCCCTTCACAACTGACTCCTCAATTTCATCTATACACCATGAAATCACTTAGTCAATAAGTAATCGTCATTAGCACATATTTTTCTGCGGGAAGAAGACTAATTTCACTCTCGCCATATTTTCATCTCAGTTACTTTACTTCGAAACAGCCTGCACGGGGTCAACCGTCCCTTCGAACAATACGAGTAGAATTTATTTGTTATATAACGTATTTGTTATATCTAGAAGGGATCGTATTCGGGGACGACCAAGTTTGGCCATGCCTTCAAGGGAGTCTAATCGGAGGTCGTACTTGTTGAAGCTAGAGAGGTCGTGTTTATGGGAAAGAGGAGTCGTCCTTAGAAATTGAAGGGAAGGGTATTTTTTCTTGAATTTCATGAATAGAATTACAGAATGCGCGAGATTGCAGCCCTGGCTTTTCAAGATTTACGAACCACTTTTCCCTCTTCCTTCTCCCTCTCTTGATAGCAGTGTCGGAGTTTGGAGCGGAGTTATAGTGTGTCACCTGGTCTCAGAATCAGATTTTGTAAAAATAGTCATGTGATGGAGAGCAGCGTCGTGGCGCCCCCCCCCCCTGTTCCCCTGAGAAGGGGCTAAAACTGGCCGAGCGCGACGGTTGACCATGAACATGGCCACTCAAGCGAGAAAGGAATAAAGGAATGGTGTTTAGTATCACTGAAGAGAGAATAACATTTCGTAGTCATCATTAGCTAGGAAACGAATATCGCCATGAACACACCATGCCATGGCTACCAAGTGGATTTTGCAGATCAGTTCCTCTATATTCTGAAATTTTCCCACAGTATCCTACTATATATAATCGGCTAAGCGGTTGTGTGTGTGTGTGTCTGACCGGAAATTCATAACTTCGTTCCCTTTGATCCCAGAGCGCTCAAACTTCTAGGGTATATAGGGGGTCGGGCGTGAACACTGATGATGGGTGGCGGAAAGTGATAAGTACTGATAGAAGCTGATAACGGGCGTCAGAATGCCGATGTCACCAACTTCCTTACGCCGTTCGCGTTGGCAGTGGATTGCTAGCACTCATGAATATTGTGTAGGGTAGGACTGGGACCCAAATGGTGAGCGAAGGAAAGTGATAGCAAATGATAAGGGCTGATAAAGGGCATCGGAATGCTAACGTCGTCAGTTTCGCAACGCCCTTTGCGTTGACCCTAAGATGTTCGCACTCATGAATATTATGTGGGGTGAGGCAGGGACCAAAAGGGTGATTGGAAGAAGGTGGTAGCAACTGATTAGAACTGATAAGGGGCGTCAAAGTGTGGATACTACCAGTTTCGTTGCGGCTTTCGCGGTGACATTGGAACCTTGGCTGTCACATGTGGTATAGGGGATGGGACGGGAACACGGATAGTGGATGATCAAAAGTGATAACAACGATAACGGTTGATAAGGAAGTTAGGATTTTGAGTACCGCTGATTTCGTTGTAGCCTTCGTGGTGACAGTAAATATTTGCTCCTACACGCTACAAGATGGTGAATGAGGGTGACAGAAAGGGGTATGAAAGGCAGGTGCACTAATAAAAATAGCGACAGAATGTGCACTCGGTTAAACTGAACCAGATTCCTAGCACGGGAATATGTTCCATTTCCACCCTTTCATCTAAAAAAGCAAAGGAAGTTGAGCTGCTCCACTATCTGGACTTGGACTAATAGCGAATAAAATCATATTTCCAATTTCCATCATCGGTTGATGCTGATTGATTGGTTATATTCCACTTACACACCGATTCTTCAATTGTGGGAATTCTATAAACCGCTAAATCGCCCGAGCTCGATATCAATGCTAAATGTTTACGAAGTCATGATAAGTACTATTTTCATTCCGCATGCTACTGCGCGCATTACGCTACAATCTTCAGCAAAATTGGACTTTCGAAATTCATGTGAAACATCTTCCAAACATCTTACTGTTGTTTCTCAGTCGTGACCTAATATTCCTGCAAGTGTCTAAACACCGCATTTGATTGCGCGCGGTTGCGGTGCGGATGCTAAACTGGTTAGTAAACAATTAAGAATAATAACTTCATAGCTTTTTTACTGTGGTATTGACACTTAATTCTGTGTATCCGGCGTTATTAATTTTTAGTCTTGTGTTTGTTTGTTTGTCTGTTGAATCAATTCACGCCTCAAAACCAAAAACTACCAGTAACTACCAGTATAGTAACTCTATCTTAATCAGGAGAATTTCAACATTTTCGAAGTTAGGGCCGTGATCGTCGAAATAGAAATATAGTGGAATTCAACTGGGAGCTATTACAATTGCAGGGTCATACCAGGATCTAAAAGCACCTAGCATTCTCAAGTCTATTGGGAGTAGGAACGCCTAAAGCAGATGTGAAGGGGGGGGGGAGTGGGTGGAGGACATAAAAGGGGAGTGGGATCGTACTGAACCCTAGATGCCGCTTCAGCCGAGTTACGTTTTCATGTGGTTGACCCTGCTAGCAGTTCGTGAGCATGGCAAAGTGTCTGTCTTATCATTCCACGGAAGTAAAGGTGAAAAAAGACCCCCTTTTCCGTAGAGCTTCTGGATTCTAATATGAATTTCCATATTTTCTTTTAATTTAAAAGTTCTGAGAATGTTCAAAGCCTAACTGAACATTCATTGCAGGCTTATACAGAAATTTATTCCAGGTTTCAGTTATTGAGAAAGGCGGGCGTGGTGGAAGACGGCTGGCTGGATGTGGGAAATTTTCAGAAGCTGCCCACTCTGAAAATCCAATCAAGACTAATGGGAACACTAGGGATATTTGTGGAATGTCAGGTTACCATGGTCACTGGTCGCCAATCGTAAGAGAGGACAGTGTCATTAATAGCTGTGATCATGACGTATCTCCTTGTTTTATTCCGCTGAAAACTACGAGCTTCAGCATCTTGACATATCTAACTCCTAGTGTAATTTGTATTGCTAATTCCATTGTAACTACTAAAGAGAGTTTCAGCCTGGAACTGGAAATGGAGCCCCATTACATTGCAGAGGATTGTTTTGCGCGACGCTTCAGAAATCAGAAACAGCGTTCACACTTTGCGATCCCATGCAGCCCACGGTCCACAACCAATCTTGCAAGGCGGAGGTTTTGTCATGACAAGTGGCGCAACATACTATGTGCACGGGCCGAGGATCTAATCTTGGACCGGACCTCTCCAAAGCCAACGAAGCCCTCCTTTCTTTGAAATTCCAGATACCTCCGGAAGTAAAACACTAACCTTGTTCCAGCAAGTCATTGTATAGGAAAAATCACATTCATATGTCACTACGGTTCTGAATGAAGATAGCCCATGGCGCATCCCAAGACGGAGGGACACCCATGTGGATGAGCCAGTTACTGTGCTTGGGGTTAAGCCCGGGAGAGGAAGAGATCCTTGGGGAGCATGTCAGGAATTTACGTTATCCCTGGCGTTTCTTCCTTTGCTGGGATTAGTCCCAGTCTCACCTGCCATCGGCCCTGTTTTGAATGTACCCACCTCCTGTGCATAAAGATGGAACAGTGCAGTGTGGTTCAGCGAAAAGATTTCGCGTTGCAAAAAGCGGAAGAATCTTCCTGTCTTACGAGCAAAAATAAGAAATAGCCTCAAAAGTCAGTGAGTTAGAAAAGTAGGATGAGAAGTTCAATGAAACAAATGAGTCAAAGACTCAAAAGGAGTGATGAGCGAACCAAAGACCGAAAAAGTAGTAATAAAAAACGCATCGCCTGCCCACGCGTGCGATTTAGTAGTAGGCGCAAACTGTGAACGCTGCATTGGATAACTGTTTTTGATGCTAAGATCGCATATCCTACTTATTACCAGTTTTAGCGCGCCGCACGCTACCGCGCGCATTAAACGGAAGGTCGGGATGAGACAGGACAGCCGACAAAGCGCTAGATTCACCGCTAACATAAGCTCTTTATCTTAGCAGAAGCTCACCGTTTGATACGCGCAGTGGAGTGCGGAGCTAAAGTGGTGTCTGTAAACAACCACCATGCATCGAATGCCAGTGTAATTTAGCGGTCGGATTGTGTGTGATGTTAAAACATAATTATCCAGCACTCGTTATCGTATTTTCTTACACCATACATTTTTAGGAACTCTGGGGGCATAGCGGTTTAGTGGTATTTCGGGCTGATGATAACAACGCAAATGAAAGAATATTGAAATGAAATGCTTTATCTAAAGTCTGGTTTTGAGTGACCTCTATATTCTTGCGCATATCGTTATTATCGGCCCTTATCAGCCGTTATCCCTTTCTTTTTTCCACCATATATGTTCCCGTCATACCCCCCACAACACTTCTTCGAACCAACGCCTCACTGATGCTGGGACGCGCGCTATGGATATCGCGGAATTGGCGTTCTGGCGCCTCTTATCGGATCTTATCAGTCGTTATCACTTTGCGTCCCCCACCAAAGATGTTCCCGTCCTACCCTCTACATCACTTCTTGGAACCAACGCCTCACTGATGCTGGGACGCGCGCTATGGATATCGTGGAATCGGCGTTTTGGCGCCTCTTATCGGATCTTATCAGTCGTTATCACTTTGGGTCCCCCACCAAATATGTTCCCGTCCCACCCTACAACATACTCAAAATACAGCGCTCCACTGTCGGCCGTGAGAGGGGGGGAGAAGGGCGCTGTGAATTTCGGTGACACATCACATACAACACGACAGACATAAGACTTACGGCTTTATATATATCCTACTATATATAATCGGCTAAGCGGTTGTGTGTGTGTGTGTGTCTGACCGGAAATTCATAACTTCACCCCCTTTGGACCCAGAGCGCTCAAACTTCTAGGATATATAGGGGGCCGGAGAACACTGATGACGGGTGGCGGGAAGTGATAACTACTGATAGGAGCTGATAACGGACGTCGAAATGTTGAT